CTAATTGATTTACAGCCTCCACTCCAAACCAAGTAACTCCTATTGGCTGGGGAAGGAGTTCCTCTCACTGTCACTATGGCATGAATCTTGAATACAAGCACTTTGCCAATCTGTAGGTGTGTGAGCCTGTCATCCTGGCAAAAAGCAAGGTTTTCACCAACATGATGTAGGCTAGTTTAGAGAGTCTGAGCAAGGAGTATTATTGGCAACAGTCTTAGGGGAAAAGAAATCCAGTGTCCAACTTCCTCCCACCCAATGAAGTTTGTTTTGCAGGCATTTTTACTTCAGAGAACCCAGGCCTTCCTCAGATTTCTTCAGTACAAGTGAGGAACTGCAGTACCCCTACCTACAATTCTCAGTACTGCCCTGGTACCTTAGGTATTCCAACACAAACACCCCAAATCATGGCAACACCCTATTTCTGTAAATGCAACAAACAGTCAGGCTATAACACTCAGCTTAGAAACTTCCACCTGGGGGAAGTGATCTTCTCATGCTAACTGGATGTATAAAATAAAGAGCTTTGAAATACTTATGTTTCCTCTCCTGGAAGTACATCACAGCTTAGATTGTATTGCATGAACAGTATAAACAACTCTAAATCACAGTCTGCTTCTACACTGGAAATGTATCAGGAACAGCAAAAGGACTAATGCTGCATTGAAGAAAGTGATAACCCTGCATAGTGTGCAATTTTTCATTTTGCTCCATTTCAAAATGCATCATATAAATTACATTCATAAATGTTAGGGAAAAAGAAAACAAAAAACATCAAAAAACCTTCCTCCAGGGTTATTTTCATTTGCAAAGATTTCAAGCAGCAGAAAATTATTCTTATCTCTGAACAAGTTTTTGTATTTCTTAAATAACCTCCTTCTGTACTTAACACCAACACAGTTGCATTTGGTTTACAGAAACCCTGTAGCATCCAAAGGCAGTCATGCCTTTTACTCCTCAATTTAATCCACTGAGAGCTTTAAACAACTTGCAATGTCTACAATCACAGTCCTCTTAAACAAACGTTTCCACAAATTCTACGGGTTTTGATGCTCCTTCTAGCATGAAAGTGAGATCCCCCACGCAGTGTTTATTCATGAATTGGTGAAAACTGTAGCAAGGACAGAACTGGAAGCCACATGGTGTGACTTCAGTGCTAAAAGCCCTCACATCTGTGTCACAACTCATAGCTATCAGAGAGAAAAAGTTGGAACACACACTGGAGCGTGCCTTAAAGTGAATGCAGCAACAGATATATCAGAGAATGTGTGTTAATGCTACATGCTCATTGTATATAGTAACAAAGATGATTATTTATAGTGGTCAGGCTTATTCTATAGCATGAGACAAGCCATGGACACCTCAACAGCATAGCCACATCTTTCCTGCCAGACAACATCATTCTGGCTGTTTTGCTAAGCAAGCCACCAAATTCCTCTCCATAATACTTCAACCAGCAGGAGAACTCCTTAAGGACAAGCCAAAGTCCCCAAACACATGAGTAACTTATACCAGCACTCAGGAAAGGATTAAGCAAGGGAAAAGACAGCTAGCTAGAAACACTCAAAAGCTTCTGAATCTTCAGAGGGCATCAGGAAAACTGGGTTACATATCTGAGATGTAACAGTCAAGAAAAGAGTATCAGAGCACATAGAAATTAATGGAGCATGAAAGTGAAGAGCAAAATAACTTTATTTTAAAGGAAGCAAGCTCCTCTAGCACACACTCTTGAGCTTAATTCTCTTCATCAATCTTACCAGATTTACTGTGGTTTACACAGTAAATCTATTTAGTAACTTACTTCCTGAATGTTTATTCTTGCTATTACCAACAACTAAGTTTTAAGAAAACTACTTTTACTTATTTTGACTAAAATCAATGACAGCAGAAAATGTTACCTGATAACCTTCTGCAAATGAGAAAAAAAACAACCAAACAAACAAACAAACCACAAACACAATAAGCAGAAGCACATAAATGAACCACAAAAAAACTAACCAATACAAATAAATAGTGACATCTCTCTGGAAGAAATTTAATGATATTTTACTTACTTTTTGTTATTTATACTTATTTATAATATGTTACATATGTTACATATTTATAATATGTTATTGTTATTTTTATATGTGTTTATAAAACACATATATACATATACATTTAACTCATCCAAATTGGTCCCACTGGCAGATGATCAAGTCCAAAACAAAGATATCATACTGAAACATTATCAGCAAAAAAAATGTGACTGACTTTTAAATAAACAGACAATTTTTAAGTATTATTTAATCTTAAGGCAAAATAAAGTCAATTTCAAAAAATAGAACTTTCCAAAACCCATTAATTTCCTGCAATGCCCAGGAACTACTCTATTAAAGCACAAGAGGTAGATCCATCACTAATCAAAACATAAGCCTTAATTTTATTTTGTTTAACTCCACCCGCTTAATTATAGTGGGAATTCTTTATTGTTATTGCCTAACTCTACTTTAATCTTAAAATTAACCAAGTGAGAATAAAATCTGCCCAGGAAACTCTCTCAATTCCCATCCATAAGCTCCAATGCCTTCCATACCACTACTCTGGTTCAGCAAATTCAACTTTATTGGTACTGAAGAACAGGAGACTACTCCTAAGAGCAACAAGCAAAAAAAAAAAAAAAAACAAGCATAAAGATTATACTGTCAGTTATCTTGTATCAGCTGTATGCACATCTGCAAAGGTTCAGAGAGTCTAGGAATGGTTTTGCTTCTTTTTTAGAAGAAAATCAGACCAGAAAAAGGTTGTACCTACAGGACTTGTTGGGTTCTGGCACATTCTTTGGCCCATGTTGCTAGTGAGTGATCAGCTTTTCACAGCCATTCTCTAACTACCAGTGGGAACACACACCACTGGTTTGGATCAGTGCATTTTAAAGTCATATATGCAAGCAATGTAGGAACTATTGCAATGGACACAGAATACATAAATACTTTTCTCAATAACATGCATAATACAATGTAACACTTTGAAGCTGATTTTTTTTTAAGAAGAATTTTACAGGGCTGGGTATTAATTTTTCTGCTCCAAGCATGTTTGCTTTGACAACACACACACACACTACATGTTTATTTTGTTAGCCAATTGAGAAAAACAAAGATTTCCATAGTTACCAACAAGCTGCTGTGACAGGATATAATGGCAGTTCATTTTCCTTCACCCAAACTTCATGCATTGCATTTTTGCTGTAACAAATTAAGAACTATTTGGGAGAAGTTGTGTTCTTTAGAGAGACAATGTGCTTCCCTTGTGTTTAATGAGAAATTAAAAATGCTTATGAAAAATCAGAAACAACTACAGAAGATGTCATTCTCCATGGCTGGGAACTGCCAGGATCTGAGACTAGAGCATGAATGCTACAGGAAAAGAACAAGTATAGGGAGATGTAAGGATAAAAAAGAATAAATCCAGGCTGCAAGTAACATCAGGCTCATGAACAGAGCAGCAACAGAAACACGTTCTTCAAAGAAATATTTTTGGTCACTTGCTTTCTGTTAGGCCCTCTTTCTTAACCAACTCTATTCTCCTGGCTGGGACACGCACCATACCACATCATTTCTGGCACAGGATTAGTAAAATAGAAGGATGGCCACAGCTGAGCTGGAAAGTATCTTGTCATCAGTTCTGTTGGCCAACACACACTAACTGCTGGAAGTATTCTGGAAATAGTTTGACTTTTTTTTTTTCCTTCTTTTTTTTTTTTTTGGCAACAGAGAAGAAAAGGCCTAAGCCATCCTGGTCACCAAGTGCAACACCAGCAGCCAAGAAAGTAAAGCACTCTCAGGGGTGGAGGAAATTTCTGCTGTGCCACCTACAGCAGGCAAGTGGTTTCTGTTCCAGGTTACAGCCCTGAAAGCCTGTTAGTAACTCCAGCATTGCAAGCAGGTAGCTTATATCCAGCTTCTCTCTCTTCTCTTTCCATTCCCAAGAACTGTGTGTTTCAAACCAAAATGGATTTCAACAGCCAGTCCATCCCCACAGTCCATCCCCAGAGCACCACACTAAATAAATGGCTGCACAAATAGCCAAAATTGTTTACTAAAGGTAAAATGTACAAGACACACACCACTATATTTCTTTATACTGGGCAGTGGCAGCTGTATGTGTACAGGTTTTCTGGTTATTTTCACCATAACTACACTTCTGCAGAAATTGGAGGCAAAAATCACTACCATGTCATTTTGTTTGACATCAATGGAATGGTACTGAGTAATAAAATATTCTTCACAAGGCTTCTATTATAAGCTAATGAGCTAATCTTTCAAGAAAACACACAGTGAAATAGCTGGTTTTAAGTATATACCAGATACCCTTTACAAAGAACCACAGAATTGGTTGGAAGTTGTTTCTGGACCATCCCCTTGTCCAAGCCCCTGCCAAGGCAGGGTAACCAGAGCAGGTGACACAGGGACACATCCAGGTGGGTTTGGAATGTCTCCAGAGAGGGAGACTCCATGACCCCCTTAGGCAGCCTGTTCCAGTGCTCTGCCGCCCTCAACACGAAGAACTTCTTTCTCATCTTAAGGTGCTTCCTGTCATTTAATTTATGGCCATTGCTGCACACAACTGAAAAGCAGGTCCCAGTTAGGCCATATTTAGGTAGATGAAAAATGAAACAACCTAACATTTTATATATTAAAAAGCAAAAAACAAAATCAAAAGCACAGTCAACTCTTCAGAAGACTATTACAACATTGTCTTGAAAAGTGATATAAAAGTCCCTATCTGAATGGGTCAAGAGTTCTCCTAAATAAGTGTAATGATAATCACTTGCAAGTTATTGCTATTTTTTAAAAATCCATTCTACCTTACAAACCCATTCTAGAGAATTCACCATTGTAACATAAAGTCAGCACATTTATTGCTCTAGAACACAAAATTACTTCTAGATTGAAAACACAGAGCTTTAAGACATGCAATACTCACTGATTAAAAATCAAAATATTTGTAAGGAAACAACTTACTTGATTGAGTTTCTAAAGTGGTCTTCAGCAGGATTTTTTACAGTACAACTGTTGAGCAACCATAAATCTGCTTCATCAGAGTTATCTACAAAACAGAAAAAAATCAACTTGCGTTAAGAATTATTTAACCTGTCAACTCCTAACTTATATAATATTTTTAAAAAAACCAAACTGAGCCATTAATAGTAAGTTGGCTATTTGCAAGATTACTTTATATTCAATTACATTCTTGGAAGGGGTTTATTGTTTTTCTTTGTTTTGTGTTTTAGAATAAAAAGAGGCACATAAGCATTTCCATTGTCATTTCATTTAAATTTTTTTGCCAATGGGGAACGAGTTGTTATCTCATCTACCAGCTGAGATGCCACTAGATTGCACATCATGGAAAACAAAGTTAAAAAAAATGGTCACAACTCCCAGAAAAGTCTTGCCTAGACAAAGGCAAAATTAGGTGGTCAACAAAAGCAGGTTTCACTAAGAAAACAAAATCCCTGCTTCATCTCCACTGTGAATTAATACTACAAAAGAAACAAATCATAATTCATAACATGTAAAGCTCTACCAAAGAGAAAAGTCAATGTAGCGGGTTTGGAAAGAAACAGACATATTTCTAGTTTTGGTTATATCTTAGTTATAGTATAATTATAGCTCAGCAATTTTCAGACAAAAGATATTCAAGCAACCAATATCTGTTTCCATTCAGATAAGAATACTTTTTTTTTTCAGGATCCAAACCTTTCTGTATGTTCAGAGCCTATTGATATCTAAATTCATTAACTGAACTGAATCCCAGAATTATCTGCAGAAGCACATATATGAACTGTAATCCTGTAAAACATGGCCTATACTACACAATTACTAGCCTAGTCATTATCCTTGTGAAGTTAGAGCTTCTTTTTTTGAACAAAAGAATAATCTATCTCAAATAGTTTCGTGCTTTAGCATTCATCAGAATAGCTTGTATCAGTCTGGATAAGAAAATTCATGTCACTCGCTACTATTCAGTACATGGAGCAGTAAAGTATTGACTGATGTATCTTTAAATAACATAAGCCAGTGAGCAATGAATACAGGTAAAACTTAATTTTTAGGATGCCTTACTTGAACTGATGTCCTGCTAAAGCAGGAGGAAGCCTGCCATGACTTAGGCATATTTATACATGCACCCATCATGAATGTATCTATACAGGCATGAATATCCTTTTTCTCCATGCACACACACTTATGACAAAATGCTAAAATTGAAAAAGCTTTCTGTCTCATGACATTTTCTTCAAAGAATTCATCGTTTACAATTAATTATCAGTCGCTTAACCTAGGAAGCGGGTAAATTGAAAATAATACATAAAAGGCAATTAATGCTAAATAAGAGAAAATATTCAGGGGGAGTTCTAATCATTGTTGACCAAGATTACACTATTAATTTGGCTAAAACATAACTTCCTTTCACAACAGGGAAAGACCACAAAACAGTCACCTAAGCAACATTCAAACCTTTAGCTACTTTAAACAAAACAAATATCTGACCCTGTCAGGTTGGGAAAGGGCACTCAGTTTTTCAGCCTACATAGAAGTCAAAATAAAAATGGAACAAAAAGAAGAACCTCTCCTGCATGAAAACTACATTTTTAGACTAATGAGCAGACCCCTATACCATTACAAATATAATCAGAGGTTAAAATAATTGATCAGGAATTATGTACAGACAAGGAAAGAAACAGTTTCAATGTCAGAAAAAGAGTGATCTCTTGGCCTAGTCAGATGTACTAGGTATGAAAACAAACACATTTTAAAAGTAGTTTTCCAATCACACAGCCAAACCCTTGCATTTCTTATTCTTTTCAGCAGCATAAAATGTTTATAAATTCAGCCCCACACCCATAACACACCCACCTGAGAATTAGGGGTGGGACACACACACACACTAAATAGCAAGAGGCCAACATTTAAGTGAGACATTACATTTAACAGACAACAGCTGCAGTAGCACACACTGACCACTGTAAAGCACAACCATTTTCGAGAGATGCCTTTATTCAGAGGAGAGAGACAGAGAACACCAGTTCTGGGCTTGGTCTCAGCTCCTCCTTGTGCCATGGTTTCCAGGTGTGCAGGAAGAGACAACACCACGGCAATGCTTCTCCCCTAAAGCCAAAATCAACCCTCTCTTCAAAACAGCCTTGGAAAAAGTAACACATTTAGGTTTAGAAAGCCCTTACATAGTAACCCAACAGGACTCATTTCATACAGCAGTTGGTTTCCAGGCTATTAATATATTGACTCCTTGACTGAGGGACAACTGCAACACTTTATATATATATCACACATATTAGAAAATCTCCCAAATACACATAAATTCATTCCTTAACAGGTTTTATCCTCTGCAGAACAGAAGATAAAAAGCAAAGGCTTTTACAGAATAAAATCTCCTGAGCAGTTTTGGGAAAAGGAGTCTTTCATGTACACATCTAAAACTCATTTATGGACCATAAAAGTGCATCTGAAGTTTGTCCTCCTCTTACAGCAACAGCAGTGTTTTATTATATTCAGTTGTTCTATTTCTGCCTTTATTTTTAAAACTTTTTTTTCTAATTATTTCTCATGATATCTCATATGAATATATGTACATACAAGTTTTGATTATGCATATATATAAACATATAGACACACACTTGTGAGATATATTCATTTATTAAGTGTCCATATCACAACTCTTCAAAATGATAGCTGAATTTTCTTAGTACTTTACTGCCCTATTCATACTTAAAATAATTGCATGCACTGATGTAAACTCACCACAGTCTACTGCATTTTTTCAATAAAATTTCAGTTAAAAAGGAAAAAAATTGCCAACGCGGTCCTTTTGTATCAGGTTGCAGGAAGATGTGAACATTTGCAACATTGTGGGAATAACTTGTCAGCGGTCAAATTTTGCTTTGCAAGGCCTTGATGGATGTGTGGAAACAAACATGGACCAAAAGAGCAGACTGGGCTTGGCATGTATAAACAACATCTTCTGGCTTCATAATTACTAAATATTAAGCAACACTGGGGTAATAATCCTTTATTCAGGGCATGGAAACTGGAGCAACTGGCTACCTATATATATATATATATATATATATATATGTATATGCATGTGTAGATGTGTGTATATATATATGTGTATATACACCTATAAGTGTTCTGGCATGAGTAGGTGCTACTATTCAGCACTGTGCTCAAATAAAGAGTCAAAAAACTCTGACAAATAAGCTCAGGCTTCTAAACACATGCCTAGAGGGGCAGGGGCAGACAGCCCTGAGGATTCCCTGTTTATACTCCAGGCAGACAGATGAAGAGTTTAGGTCTGGATGGGAAGCCCCACATGAATGTGGTGCTGCACCCACTGAGGCATCCATGCACCCTTCCTTGGAAGCTCTCCACCTGCCACCTTCTCCAACTCCATAGGTGAGGTTTTTGGGAAACCTCCAGCATTTCAGTGAAGAACAGAGGCCTGTGTTTGGGAGCTCACACAGATCTGAGCGAACAGGACGACTTAAAATTGACAGAAGGTTTTCCATCAAGTCATGGAGACCAACAGGCAAAACTGAAACAAAAACCATAAGTACAGTGAACATCAGTTACAGCAGTGAATGTGATATAGGTGCATATATCCTGCAACAATCTTCTCTATTTTTGCCATATATTCAGCCTAATGATACTTTTTTCATTATGATATTTATTTTTATGAGCTACTTAAACAGCTTCCTCTTTGATAAGATATTTTTAGAAAGAAAAAAGGAAGATATGTCAAAGCAGCTTTGTATTACATGCTCAAAAACACAACTCAAAACCATGGACTTCTTGCGTTGTGACATCTTTTCCATAAAAAAAGGCTACACTGGAAGTAAACCACAAAGTCTCTCATACTCTCTGAAAAACAACATAGAGTACAAAGGAACCTAAAGGTCATGGAAACTTCTGAGCACTTAAGTTAATTGGGAAACTCTGGAAAACATGAATTGGCTGCATTATGCAATACTAAGATGATAAAATGGTGAGAGTCTGTAACATTAGTATACCTACAGAGGAAAATAATATTTACAATTCTTTTCTAACTAGCAGTGTCAGTTTTCTTATCATTTCAGAAATCATAAATCAGCAGAATTTCTTAAGACTGTAGTAATACTATCAGTTGAAAATAAACAACTGACTTGGGTTTGCCTGGTCTCTTGACTTTTAGTCTTCTTTCAATTTTTTCCAAAACTTTGTTTTCTTCCAAGCCCCCCCAAACCACATCTCCTTGAAAATCAAAACACTCACAAAGCAAAAAAGTAGAAGAAACAGTTAGTGAAGGCCTAAAAGAAAAGCCTTTCTTTACTTTCTTCAGCACATCACTCCTCTCTCTGCACTGAAATCTCTACCAGATTTGCTCAGCATAGTTTGCTAAAAAAACATGACTCATAACTATTATGACATACTTTTAAATACTGTACATCAATCTGAGAAGTCCAATCTGAAAGCAGATCTTTCTCTATAATCACTGAAGGCTCTTCCAGGGTGTTTCCCTCCAGCTGTCCTTATCCTGTTCCTAACCACTCTGCGAGTCTTCCTTCTCACCTTTTCTGATTTTGTTTCTTCTAACTCTCTTACACAACAAATATACGTCTAGTTTCTCTGTTTCCATGTGCTGTATTCTAGCGTCTCTTCCCATTTATGGACCTCTCCATTAAAGCTTTGTCCTGTGTGTTCTTCCTTCCAAAACAGCTCTGCTCCCTCCCTTGATACCCTGGTTGCCACTTCATGCTCTGGAATAGCATGAAACATAGTAGATCCAGTAACATCCAAGGTATCTGGAATGTGTGCCTGCAACTGTACCCCATGGGAATCATCTGCCCCCAAAAGACACAAATATCTAAGCATGAGGACACCTCACAGCCAGTTACAGAAGTCATGGAGCATCCTGACTGGAACAAAGTTGCCAAACTAATTCTTTTCTTTCGACATCCCTGTGTCACAGAAACCCACTGTCACTCAAATTAGGTTCCTGAAATTAGGCGCTGGTTAATTTAATGACTTCTTGGACCACCGGGCATTGAGAGA